GTCAACAAAAACTATATATATTAAAAAGATGTAGAATTGGTCATTGTTATCGGTAGTGGATACTAGGCTCAACCAAAAACATAAAAAGAGAATTAGATTTTTGAGATACAAATAAATAATTCCTAAACTTGATATAGTAAAGTTTTGAATGAAGATGGTGATGAATTTTTTTTAAAAAAAAAATTAATTTATACATTATTATTTTCATCATTAATCGGTGAGCTAACAAACAAGATATTGAGGGTTTGATTACACAGTTTAGTGTTAAAATAATTTTTAAAAAAAGGAGGAAATTAAAGATGAAAATATAAAAACACTGTTCAAACATGCATAATAATGAAGAGCAATTTTAATTGTAGGGCTGGTAATTAGATGATAATGAGTATGCATACAATAAATTAAAGAATCCAAAGGGTAAAGTTGCATTTATATGCCACTCCCAATTTCAACGCAGTGTGGCTATATAAATAGCTATCATATTCTCATTCTAAATGCGTCTCTCACAGAATTCCAATTTGGGAACTTGGCAAATTCTACGAAGAAACAGAAAAATGTCATCATCTAAGCCAACACTATCTTCTCTTTTCATGGCAGCTATCTTCTTCTTCTTCTTGGTCTGCAGCCACACACTTGCAATCCGACCAATTCCTGCCTCTTCTCCTTCTCCTTCTCCTTCTTTCTCCGTTTCTCCACATGAGGTGAGTGATCAGTTTCAGTTATTTTCTTGTTTCAGAATTGCTTCAAGTACCTTACATATAAACTTTAATGAAAGTTGTTGAGCTGACCATATGAATTTGACGTCCCTGAAGGGTTTGGAAGTGAAGAGGTTGATGAACAACGCAGAGGAAAATTGTGAAGGCAGTGAAGAAGAAGAAGAATGTTTGATGAGAAGAACACTTGCAGCCCACTTAGATTATATCTACACTCAGAAGCAAAATCCATGAAATGAGATCCTCTAAATCATCATCCTCTCATTTAATCTGTGTTATATTTTCAGTTTCCGATATACATATTAGGGAATACTTAATGATAAACAGTTGTTTTTCAAGCAAAAAAATTTTGGTGTACTGTCCTCTTAATTCCATATTGTTTGAGTCAATATTTTATTATTGTACTTATATGCATGATTCCATATATGAATACCAGTTAAGTCCTTTGTTTTTCTCTCAAGCTCTTCAACTCTTGCAGATGCAGGCAGGCTTTCTTTTAATTAATTTAATAATTAATATTCATCGATGATTTCATTTTCTGTTGATTACATATTGTAAACCAAATTATGATATTTATAAAGAATTTGAGCGTCTACCTAACCCCCGTTTGCTCCATATATTTTCGGCAAAACTTGCTCTCTTAATATAGGTGTTACGTTCATATATTTGTTTTTATTTAACTTAATCTATTTAAAATTATAGGTAGCCAGACCCAGTAAAATATCAAGTAAAAAAACATTAATTCTGTACAGTGACAATTCGAAGCTCTCTTATTTTTGAAGATCTTAATTAATTGAATGGTCGTAATCAAACCGATACAAAATATAATGGGATATGGAATGATGAAGATAAGCATATAGGCTGTAAAGTTTCCAAGTTGCTGGGGAAAAAACCAACAAAAATGGACCGAAAGTTCCTTTAATTTCCAAAGTGAATAATAATAACTTGTGTGGGGAATCATAGACTTTTTAACTTTCTTAATGTACAATCAATCTTATAGGTTTGGTAAAATTATATTCAAAATTGATGATTTTAATTTCCAGCCCGGCCATAATGTTTAATTTGTTGCTACCAAGAAGATTGTTCCACGGGCCACTTGATTTCATTTGCTTAAGTTAATGACCATGCCTATCAAATTATTCAGACATACACTATTAATTAGGATATTTTGATGAGTTATTCCGTCTACATCATGTAACCAAATACTGTGCTTTATTTAATTAATGTGTTGATTATAACAGGTCACCGTAAACATTTGTGGATTTACACCACAGTTCGTAGTCTAGAAAGCCTGAAAATATAACAAGGTTTTTTTTTCCCAAAAGAAAGATATACAAAATTTTCCATTTAGTAATTAAAAGTCCCATTTTTTTCTTAACTATTGTTAATAGCAGTAAAATTAAATATTTGAAAATATAATCTTGCAGATAATTATTTTAATGGATTAAATTTAAAAAATATATCAGTTAAAAAAAACCTCATCAGCAAAAAATTTTTTTTTTCTAATCTCGGCTCTTTAATATAAAAGTTAGATAAATAATTTAAAAATATTAAAAAATTATTTAAGTTAGTTCTTTAACTCAAATGTGTGATTGGTCTCCCTAAACTATCCTCTTTAATTATGTATGTTGAAATACTTTTTGGTAGAAACCTTTTACGGTCAACAATAATATTTAGGAGAAAATATGGAAGACAATAAAATAGACCAAGACTTTATATTTAGGACTAAATTCAACTTCTAACTAATTTTTATATTAAGCACCAGAGGTAGTATAAAGAAGAAAACTCCCTTTTATAGAATATAGTGTCTTGGTTCGCCCAACACACATATGGCCAATTAATGAGAATGGATTAAGGAAATTAAATAACAATGTATATATACAAATAATCAATAATTAGTCACTTAGCATTTGATGGTATATATATTATTGTCTCACACATATGACACAAAAGCAGACCAAATGCATCTATTTGTCAGTGGTTACTAAGAAAAACCAACAGCATAAGCTAGGCATGATAAAACTGTTAATAATAAGTGCTTAGAAAAATAAGTGCTTAGAAGCATAGGTTTGGTTTCACATTAAAAACACTATGCCAGGAAAAGGTAATTAATGTCGTTCAAGCATTACTTTTAACATCGGTTATACTAAAATTATAAGCTGCTTATACTAAAATCACGTTTTAGTTACAACTGTATTTTGTCATATGTACGTACAAACTCATTACAAGCAGATTTTTATTATAAGCTGTGTCAAAAATATGTCCATGAAGTTCTAGAATACCCCACAATACTCTTCTATTCCTTTTTATTCCCTCTTTTTCTTTTTTAATGGGTCTTTGATGATTACTAAAGGACTCGTATGGACTTTGATGTTGTTCGTCGTAAGCTGAGTTATGCGCCGCTTTATTATATATTGTTGAGTTATAAGATATTACCTCTTATTCTTGATATAAGGCTCAGTAAACTAATGTGAAGAGATTAAGAAAGTTAAATAAATTATTTCAAAATATTGTATTTATTATTTTTTTTCCAAACTAATTTGTCTGGTATATAAACTGATATATAATCTAATTATACATGTAAGTATTTCAAATAAATCAGGTAAGATATGTTATAATTAACTATTTTTTTAATTTTCTCATATTAGTCAATTAGATCGGTAGTAATAATTAATTAAGTTGGCCTGCAACCATGATTGTGACATCTCCCGAGTTGGTCATCATTGATGGTGTTTGCCTCTTTTCATGATGATGAAAGCACCCCTTTCTATCTTAGCGGGTTAGTCAATAGAAACTTTAATTATAGCTTATGTCCGTTGAGGAGAATGTTTAAGATTAGTGTAGGCCCTGTTTGGTTGGCATGCATGATTATTTGAATGAAATGAGAATGAGAATATGAATGTTCACGGGCAAATGAATTTCGGATTTCCTCCACTTAATGATGGGATGATGACTTGTTCTTAGGAATGTGAGGCCTTGTCGATATGAAACCCTTCAAAATAAGGACTAATTATGCTAATTAATCTCTAAACCTCTTATACTTGAATTCAGGTCTTTTTAGTCCATAAATTTTTAAATAAGAAATTTTCACCGATTTTCTTTTCTAAAAGGAGATTTTTTTTTGGGAAATATCCCAAAAAAATGATTATTAAATTTTAAAATTTCAAATCAGTATTAGGTACTATACTCGTAAAAAAATGACTACACTAAAAAAACAAAAGATAATATATTTTTGTAATAATTCCTGATTTAGAATTTTAAAATTTAACAATCATTTTTTTTATATTTTTCCTTTTTTTCCCCCAATTTTTCCTATAAATATTTCATTTTATTTTCAAATTTATTCTCATTTTTATTTTTTTTTAACTACCCTTGAATTAATCTTTTATAAGGCAGACATACTCATTTTTCTGGCTTCTTGGATTTTCTCGTGTGGAAAGAGGAAATCAGAGAATATTTTGCCGTTAACATTGAAACTACAAGTGCCGTACGGAATGTTCTGCTGAATGGGGAACCCAATTAGAGTGTCTGACTTGACAACTCGGGATTAATTGTGCTAATTAACCTAATCATTTTGCTCCTAATTATATGTTTATATGCCTTGCACAAATCAAAACCTTTGTTTCTACAACTTCATGCTTACAAAATAAGCTTTGGGAGGAGGGGGCAACATCTTTTTCACTCTCCTATAATGCATTTTAAAAGGGGTTGATTAGTAATCTCAATCATATATATTACTACCTCTGGTCTTAATTGGTCTTAATTATAAGATCTTGTTTATAGTCTATAAATAATGTCTTATAAATAGAATCAACGATAGTATTTTAATTACACCTAACTATACAAACTTTTTTAAACATCTCCGTGCAACTCATTTTTGTTGTTTACTAAATTCATTATGGGAGAAAATAATCTTAAGGGGTGTTTGGATAAGAACAAAACTATGGTTTCAGAAGTGCTTTTACGGAATACGAAGTAAATATGTGGAGGAGATTGTCTCGTTTGCAGAAAAGTGCTTCTGAAAAGTGATTCTGGGTGTTTCCAAACACCCCCTTAATCATCATATGTAACCTTGGTCATGGGGCTTATTTTGCCATAATTGATTGGGTTGGAGAAATTCAGGCCCAAAACAAATCTGTATTGAAAAAGAAAAAGAGCCCGAATTTATTTTATATTAGGCTTGTTTTAGGCTGGATGGGCCGATTATGGTCTGATTGGCGCCAACACAGTGATTTTGGCGCCATAAAAAAATGGCCTTTCAATTCGACGTTCACCCTTCCCATTCCGAGAGAAAAGAGAATCTGGAGCCACAATTCGAGAGAGAGAAACTGAAAAATCAGAATGGGAAAAGCGAAACAGTACTTCCTTTTGAAGACAGAGCCATCAGACTGGTCATGGGAGGACCAAGCCTCCAATGGAGGCATCACCAAATGGGACGGCGTCAAGAACAAGCAAGCTCAGAAATACCTCAAGTCCATGGCCCTCCACGATCTCTGCTTCTTCTATCACTCCGGCGCTAAGGCCCGCCGCGTCGTCGGCGTCGTGACCGTCATCCGTGAGTGGTACGTGGAGGGTGAAGACGGCGCTGTGGACGTGAAGGTGGTTGGGGAAATGAGGAGGCCGGTGGACCTGAAGGAGATGAAAGGGGACGGAGGATTGAAGGACTTTGCACTGTTCAAGCAGCCTCGGCTCTCTGTTGTCCCGGTCTCGGAGGATATCTGGAAAAAAATCTGTGAGTTGGGAGGTGGCTATGAAGGGGACGGTCAAGACGGAACGGAGGGCGAGGAGGATGAACTGAAGGAGACGCCGAAGAAGGAGAATAATTAGGGTCCTTGGGGAAATGGCATGATAGGTTTTTGTAGATTTGCCTGCTTGATCTGTGTGGTTTAGACTTTTGCATGGTGGGACAGAAATGTAAAATGGGGAAGAAGAGGGATCAGAGTAATCTTTTTTGTTCGGTTTGTGGGGATGAAATTGCTTGTTGGATGGGCGTTTGTAAATATGCCTCCTCCCTGATCCCTGGTTAGGTCTTTTTGCTTGGCTTTGTAACGAATCGTTTTTAGTCTGGCTAGATTTGTTACGTTACTTTCGTGCGTTATTATACCGATCCATGCCCGATCAGATTCAGAGAACTCCGATCTCCCAACTCCTAAGAATCAAGAAGGTGGGAGCTTAACCGAGGGAGGTTTGGTCTAGTAAAATGGGTCACTTTTTCACAACACAATGGATCAAAATTTGAGTTCAAAAGAGGTACTCACGTTTAGTATTCGAGCATAATATCCGATCAGGATTGCCTACTTTATGATGAAGATACCTATGCCTATCCAAAAAATAAATAAATAAGGGTGTGGGCGTTCGTAATGTTCCATTTTGGGGTTAGGTTTGGGTCGAAGGAGTACCATAATTGGTTGCCATGCTGGGCTGGATTGAAAATTTTCCAGCCTATCAGGAGGTGGGTTGATTTAAGCCCGTCCCGCCAAGAGAGGGCGTGTATTGTCACTGCCAATCATGAGAGCTAGGCATGCATCCTCCTATTTAGATTGCGAATTATGGTATGAACAGTATGTTTAAATTTAAAAAATAATACTCATTCCAAAAAAAAATTAAAAATAATAAATTTTAACAAAATTATCATTTTAAAGAGATTTTCTAAGTGGAGATATTGAGAAATCATCATACATCACGAAAGTGTCTCTTTTGAAATATAATGCAACTTCATAGATGTGGGATGGTGAAAAATCTTATAAGATTACCGAAGGTTTCCCTAATACTTGGTGCCTTTTGCTATGTTATTGGTTTTGATATTCAAAAAGTAAAAAAAATTTTACAATACCCAATTTACTCTGATATGATCACCATTCTAACCCGGTCATGTGCTTTGAAAAACTTGCGAGTAAAATTCAAAAGTTCGCAAGTCTTTTACAGAAATTAGGATTCAGGACAAAATAAACCAGCTTAGCCAAGCCATACTCCCTCAGGCCAAAAAAAAAAATACGCAAAAGGACACGCTATGCCCCCAAATGTCCACAGCAATCAAATGGGGTATCAAAGGAGAAATTTTACTTCTCGGCAGATATGTCGTTGAGAGCCATTCTGCGTCCTTTCCCTTCAAAGGTGAAATTGCTCCAAATGCAAACATTACCACACGCAAGGCTTCGTTCTGCAGAAGTTTTAAACGGCTCATGGCTCAGAACCTTGAGCGTCCGAGCATTCTCATCATCTGATTATGGGGACCAGTCACGTGGCGGCCTCCCGCGTTTCTACTCCGAAGTTCTTCCTCCTTCCAAGGCAATTTCCCCCTCCTTTATATACTGCGGTGCATTTTGTCTCACGATATCTGTTCTTGCTACTTTCACTCTGCTTATGTAACCGATTGTCCGTTCTCTTGAATGCTCAGGGTTTATCCTGTCCAAAACTTAGTTTCATTTTAGTGTGTCGTGTCGTTCACTGAGAGGATTATATTTTGCATTTTAGTAACTTCTTAGGATTTTCTTATTACCTGGTACTTTGAGTCATGGGTCACTATTTTTAGCGTCTAATATTCCATTTCAGATGACAATATTTCTTGCGGTTCTCTTGTTGGGTTCGGGAAGTTTTTGATTCAGACGTAAAGTTGGCTTCTTTTTTTTTGGCGTTTAACGAATGACATTCATTTATAGAAACCACTGTGGCTAATGTGACCTCTGGTTGATTAAATATAATGATATATTTGTTTCTACTTTCTAATAATGCAGGGTAATATTGTGCGCGTACAAGGTGATGAATTCTGGCACATGACAAAAGTTTTAAGATTGAGCGCCAATGATAGGTAATTTTTAATGACTGTCATTTATGAATGACAGGATGGCTTGATTTATGCCAATAAGTCTTGACCCTGAAGCATGGTTTGGTTCTATCTTGCTAAATGATCTGGTATAGATGTCAAAATTTTGAACAAAAAGACAAATCAGCTATAAAACTCTGTATATCTTGTTAATGTGTCAGTTGCTAGTTTGTTTAGACTGAAAAGGGAAGGCTGAGAGGGAGTTTGCTCTGGCGGTGGATTTCGATTATTTTGTTCAAGGTTGTGGCATTGCTTGCTTCTATGTTTGTGATCCAATTGAAAAAAGTGGATGGACAGTTCTTTCTCATCTTTTTACATGTGGTGTATCATGCTTATTTCTAGCACTTATCTGGGATCCAGAGAAAACTTTCTTGATGATCGATATCGTACTGTGCAAGGGTAGAGCTCTTTAATGGGAAAGGAGGTTTAGTGGAAGGGCGCATACAGAACATTGATCGTACAGGACTTGATTTTGTAGCTTTGAATGATCCAAAGTTAATACCTCCGCAAAACGCTCAATGGCATGTGTTTGCAGGCTTTGGTAAGTTCTTGTAGTTTTATAAACCAGTTGTATACTTGCGGCACTATTTTGAAGACTTGTATTTTTCAATATGTTTTCTCACCTTTTGAGATCCAACCCCTGTTTAGGTACTCTGAAAGGTGGTCGGGCTGACTGGCTTGTAGAGAAGTGTGCGGTATGTTTCAGTTGTATATCAAGATGTTATTTGGTTAGATTTGGAATTTCTTTGTGTGACGGTGTTTTATTTTATTCATATTTTTAACTGCCATAGGAACTTGGAGCCAGTAGCGTAACTCCTCTCTTGACTGAACGTTGTCCATCAATATCAGAAAATCGGGTAGACAGATTGGAACGTGTCATTTTAGCAGCATCTAAACAATGTAACTACATTTTTTACTTGTATCTGATGTCAAAACACATTTAACTTCTATTAATAATTCACTAGATTTTTTGGCTTCATTTGGTTGGAGGGAGTTTTCTGTAGAGAAAAGAATGGAATGAAGATTCCAACACCCAACATGCTTGGTTCATTCTTTTGTTCTGCCATTCCACGTCAATTGAAATCCTTATTCCAGCTTTAGAGGGACTAGTCTGTCTAGTGAGGGTTCATTTGATTTGTGGAATATTTTTACTTACATTCTCACGTTTTTGTGCAGGCCAAAGGCTGCATGAAATGGTCCTGAAACCTCCAATAGAGATTGATGACCTTTTGCATCTTGTAAGTTCTACATTTTTTTTATGCCAGGGACTTTCATCCCTTCAAGTTCTTTGAGGAGAATTTGAACCACTTTTATGGTAACCTCCATCTTATTGCCCAGTGCTAGAATTATAGATAGTGGATATCAACATTATTGCATATTCTACTTGCCCTTTACTTTTGGGCATTCCAATCCCAACATGATGGATCTGATTCCATTGTGTTGTTTGTAGTCTGAGGCTACATAATGACTTTGATGTCAAAGAATACAATGGCATTTGAACTCATTTTCTACTCTCTTAGTAACCGGATCAACCTATTTGTTGTCCCTTAGATCGCACAATCCAAGCTCTCTCTCCTTGCAGCAGCCAAGGCAGCTCCTGTTCTTGGTGCATTGACGTCATCACAGGAAACTAGTGGCTTGATCATAATTGGACCAGAAGGAGGTTAGTTTGTCTAATGTTCAGTCCGTCTATTTGGTTTCACACTTTTGCTACATGTCTGAGCATCAAAGGGGATTTTGAATGATTGTTCATCTTGTGAGTTGAGGATAATTATTTGGTAAATTTCCACTCCCTCTTTATATTACAAATGGTAAGATTATCCGAAACAATACCATTAGTTTTTATGGGACAAACTTTAAGCTGGGAGCCCATGCCTTGTCTTGGCTTGGCTTGAGGGCTTTGGACAACCAGACTAAAATGTTAATCTGTGATGCCTATGATCTATTATCAACTTGAGAGGAAAAAAATTAAACGAAATTGATTATGGTTTGTTTTTGCTATGGAGTATTGTAGACTTCACAGAGAAGGAAGTCAATATGATGATAGAGGCGGGTGCTACTACTGTTGGTCTAGGGCCACATCGACTTCGGGTTGAAACTGCAGCAATAGCGCTTTTGGCTACTGTCATCATGTGGTCTGACGCTCAGAGAAATTCTGTCTCTTGACTCATTACCACAGGTAGATCATGCATTTATTTTCTAGATACAAACATACAGCTATAATTTTCCCTGTCTTTATTGGATAGGTAATTTTTTCACACAAGTGCTCATGTTAGTTCAAGCTAAAATTATGTCTGAGTATGGGAAACGCAAATAAATGCTCAAAAGTTAATGTAGACCACGGCCCTCCATCACTGGGTGGATTCGCTGAACGTCTGCGTTGAAACAGTTCGTCAATCAGATCCAAAATTCACGAACAAGGATATTTTGCATAATCTATTTTTATAGTCCTGTTCAACCCTATTTGATGTAGTTGCTGAGATCATGATATGATGATAATTTATTTGCTGCCCCAGTGTAATAGTGTTGCATCCATCTAATTGTTCTACTGTTTGGGACTGAATTAAAGTACGACTTATCAATGCAGAACCCAGATCAATTTGCTTGCAAACTGCAAGGGAATTATGTGTTATGAGTCCCATATTGGGGAGCCTCATAAGTGTGATGGGGTTTATAATTTCAAGGAACGCTCCCTCCTAGTAAACTAGTTTTTTAGGATTGGACTTTCTCTTTAGACTTGTGCAATGACATTATATCACACTCACACTTGCTGCCAAAATCATTCAGGACATAAGTAATTTGAACACCTCTTGCAAAAGAACTTTTTCATTCTTGCCGCCAAAATCTTGCTGAAAATAACGCATAAACATGTAAATATGTGAAGGGTCAGTCCTGTTCAAAAGTATTCCCGATATAATATATTTAATCTACTCACCTTCCATAAACTGGGGTTTACGAAAGATAAATTTTTAAAAAAGAAAAACTCGAGAGTATATTGAGTCTTGATAAGATTAGGAAAATGATAAGATTGATTATTGCCTTTGAAAGGAATAGATTATCATTTGTTTTTCTTCTGGTAAATATGTGAAACATCGATTCACGCTTGAACTGAAACAATGATCAAAGAAAACGTGTCTACGTTAGACCCAGTTATGATCTGAGGCCATTCTCATTTGAATGATGAAATTTATGGCATCTAGTGTTTTGTCCTTGTTCTGCCCTCAGGCTTTTAAAAATAGAAAACGTCCTTGTTACTTTATAGCAGCACAGGATTGCTGATTCGGGTACCCTGGATCTCCTGGCATGTTGTGACTTGATTTCTAGCTCTCTCTGGCAATGAACAAGATCAAGTCAAGCTTTGCACATCTTCTGCCTGAGAACTACATTGTGCAGCCAAGTTCTGTGTACTTCTCAGTTTCATGTGCTTTGTTCTTCTTAGATTACAGTTATCACGTGGGGTGTCTTGTATTTGCCTCCTTCATGTTTGTTCTCCTACCTTGTAGATGAAGGAAATTGAAATTTCTGATGAAGATAAGATACTTGCACGTGGATCTTAAAATATGTTGTTTTATGTCTGCAAGTTTTCACCTATAAACCCCTGTTAATTGAATCAAGTGTTTGGTGGTCATTTTTTATTCACTTCATTGACTTTGGAACACGCTTTTCATTTAGGAAAATTACATTGAGGTGCCATTGAAGGATCCTAATTCCAAACAAGTCTACGCATGAAATGCACAGATGTCTCTGAAATCTCTAGGTCTTTCGCTATGAACAATTTGTGGCGTCTAATAGCCATAATGCTCATATAATCAATCCCGAAAAGCTGTAGCCCAGAGAGTTCGGCTGGTTGGATCTCTGCCATTACTTTAGAAGGTAACGATGGTAGGGAAGATGGCTAACATCTTTCTACGGTTACTTGTTGAAATAGAAATGACACGTCTAGGATAGGCAAATAACAAGTAATGTTTAAAAATTTTAAATGCTAAAGGAAAAAAGAGATAATTATTTATTTTTTAAATTAGAGAGACTTCTACAAATAAAATAAGTCAAGGGAGCTTCCCCTCCTGGGGCTATGAGCCCAGTTCTTGCCAAGCTATTCAATATTCTTCTGATCCTATTTATAGGATGGAGAGAAGATATTTTTGTCCTCTTTATAAATTACTGAGAGAAATTTTTTGTATGGATATATAATTTTATTTTTCATTTATTATTGTGTTCACTTTGTTTATATGAGATATAATGTATGTTGAAGAGGAATAAAGTTGACAACTTGTTAAATTTTAAATGAAAGTTAATAAAATTTAAGATTTTGTTTGTTTGTATGAAATATGTTAAAAGTGACTTATAAATAGGACCAGAAGAGTAGTATACAAGACTAGCTCATTTAGAGGCTAATTTGTTTTGATTATTATAAAATGTGCCTGCTAGTATGCAAATGAAAGTGAGTTTGATCATATAATTTATAATTTGAAAAAAAAAAAAAAGAGTTTGAATTCAAACTTCGTGTATTTCATATGAAGAATAATATTTTGCCGACGTACAATTCATAAGTAAGAAACTGAGTATATTAATTGTGGGGTTAGGGGTCCCTGTGCTGAAAGATGTGTTCGTTTGTGGTTTGACTTTTAGGCAACATATAAGGATGGTGTTTACTGGGGAAGGTTTCTTTATGCAGTGTTATTATTAAGTTGCAATGAATGATCCAGAAAGAATAAGCTAAAATTCCACAGTTTAATATTCCTAATGTATCCACATTAATTCTACTTTAAAAAAATTTTTTGCCATTAATAATTCTACTTTAAAATTATAAGAGTTTTATATTTAGGACCGGAAGAGTATTACTTATGATTGATTCACCCGTTTCATATTCAATGTGAACTATTAAAGGTTAAAAGGCATTTTTATCCTTGAACTATTTTCTTAGAAGCATTGGGCATCTTAAATTATTAACTAGTTTGTTGACATTGATTTGTAATTTTTGGGCCTCACTTGATATTAATTTTTTTATAGGGTCCTTATTTGTAATTTTGTGGGATTTACAGTAATTTTCTCAATGAGCTAAATGGCCGGTGTTTAATGGGGTGCCGTATTGTGCCATTTTTATCAGTTGCTCTTGAGAGAATAGTTTAATGCTATTATTTCTTTGTTGACATAAGAGACAAAAGGAGGTCAAAATCTTATATACTTCTTTCCGTCCTGTTTATAAGAACCAGTTGACTGATTTGAGAGAATTAAGAAAAAAAGTTAAATTAGTTATTTGTAATAAATAAGTGTTATATTTTCTAAAATATCCTTACTAATCAAGTGTATTGGCTAGAACTATTATTGTTATGAGGAGTATTTTGAAAAAAAATGCATAAATTTAAGAGACAAAGTGGATTGGGATCTTATATTTATGACTAAAATAAAAGTCAAACAGAATCTTATATTAAGGACCGAAGGTAGTATTATCTTCAATTCTAAATATAAGAGTTGTTAGAGATTTAAATTGATGCCAAGTATATGATCTCAATTCATTTTTATCTTTCGTATTTATTTATTTTTTCTCGAAATAGTCCTCATAGTGATATTAAAGGGTCGTTATTCTAATACACATGATTAACAAAAGTATTTTAACAAAGATAACACATATTTACTACAAATAACTACCTAAACTAATTTTCTTAATATTTCCAAATTAGTTATTTAGCTCTTATATTAAGCACTATAGATAGTATTATTTAAGACTAAAATAAACATCCAACTAATTTCTATATTTAGAATGGGATGGAATATATATATATATATATATATATATATATAGAGTCTAATATACTATAAATAAAATATTTTTGTAATAAAAAACTGGCCAATAATTTTCTTCGGTATATATAACATCGACATTCTTGTTATTATTAAGATAGTTCGATTCTTTATTTCAATTGTTCCTATGCAGCCAGCAGCTTATAATTAATAAGTAGTAATAATTTCGTGCAAGATTATTCGTCTTTTCATATTTGCAGTGTTAATAAAGATAAAATAATATGAGTCGGAGACATTATTTATTGTCATATTTTTTATTAAATATAATTAATAATTAATAAATGTGTTTTTTTTTTAACATTTGAGCATTTTACAGTTAATAATTAATATCTTCAAAAAAAATTGTCGTGTATAATTATATTTTGATTGATGAACTCAACATTAAATTAAAGTGTCTTAATAAAGTTTAGTTATGACATATTGTAATTTAATTTTTAAATTGAAGATCTAATTCACCCTAATACGGATTAGTCAAAATTTGACGGGGTTTCTGAACACTTGTAGGTTCTTTATTTATTTTTATTTTTTTGCAAAAATTATCATACAATAAATTTCGAATCGTATGTTTGGAATCTTTTGATTTTTTTTTTTTGGGTGTGATTGATTTTTTTAGAATAATCAAATAAGGAAGAGTTGTTGAAAAAGTATGGCACCAGGAAAACACCACCTTGTTAGTTTCTAATTCCATGAATGTGACAAATGTGGTTAATTTATAATTAATATATGACATACAAAGTCAACATTTTTTGACCCACCACATCTATTTCATATTTAATGAAATCCAAAGTTCTGTGAATTATAGATACATCCGAACTTTGTTCTTTTTTTTTTTCTTTTGAAATATTAGAGTACTCTGTCTATATTGATAATGGAGGACAAATGGTAGATTTACCTTGACTAGATCTCTTTTATGTAAAAGTTGAGAATTATTTAACAACCAACTACTACCTCTGGTATGTAAACAAAATCTTATAATTAGAATTAGAGGTAGTATTTGTTTAAGAAAATAAAAGGAAAAAATTGGTAAAAAAAATCCCTGATTAAAAATTTAATTGGTTAAAAGAACATAAATTTAAACAAGTGCAACTATTATTCATGAGTACAATATATCTTCCTCTGTGTACAATATATCATCAATAATGTGCAACAATTATCAATATGGATGTTATTTGCACATAACGATATATATGCTGCACACAGCGGAAGATATACTGCACTTACAGATCATATTTGCACCTACTTAAATTCAGGTCCTTTTAGTTAATTAAATTTTTAAACAGAGATTTTTTTTAACCAATTTTCCCAAATAAAAGCCTCTATCAGCTAACACAATTTGAGTTGGTTATAAATTTTCATAATTACGTTACCGAGAAACCTTGAGTATTTTACTTTATATACTTACCGCGTTCGTTTCCACTTAAATCTAGATATGCGGATTTTTCACATATTATTATTTATTTTCTAACAAACTCTTTTTATTGATATTATCAACACTTTATAATCCACTTATTTTGATTTAATTAAGCAAAACATATATTAAGTAAATAAATCTTTTCCTTAATTTTATTATCACATTATTATTTGAGGTGTTAAGGCCATGCGCAGATCAGGACGTTAAAAAAAAAAAAAAAGAATTCAACAGCAGCGCAGCATTTTCACGTGATTAGTTAAAAATAAACATGAATCAATATTTATTTGAATAATTGTTATCTTAGATGTTACTCTTCTTCTTTTTCTTTTTGGCAAACACTTAAATGTTACTCTTCAGTATTAATAACAGCCAACATATTTGAAGTAATTATCAAGTACTTTAAGAACACCACATCATCTATATAACATAAGATCCAAATCAGACATGGACCCCACATGTTTATGCTTGTAAAACTTCTATATTTAGGTATGACATGTGTCATATATTATAATTCAGTCGGAGTATAAATAATGTAATGGTAGGTGGCAAAATACAAAAAGTAATGGTAACTCATAGAGCAGCAGACAATTCCTCGTCATGTGTTTGGGAGACAAGTCATGGTGAACTAAAATAGTAATTGTCTCACATTTCTTCTTCTTCTTTTTTTGGATAAAAACATCTTTATTTCGGAGGCAGTTTTATTCAAAACATTATCAGATATTAAATGTAGATATCTTAATTCATCATGTTGTGAAAAACTAACATCTTCGACCTAACCTCATTAGTTACGTTGTTGCTTCTTTGTTGATTCATGGCATTACTCTTTTCACAAACCTAGTCTTTTATTAAATTTTGTTTGAGTTACATTAAATTAGACAAATGTTTTCTTTAATTTTTTTTATTGATGTATAGATTTTTTTGTCTCTTAAATTAATTTAAAATGTTATTTATTTTCATTTCATAATTTTTTTATTTCATTAATGTAATCTTTTAACTCATAAAATCGATTTAAAAATTTCTTAATATTATCAAGGTACTTAATAAAAACAAAAAATTTATGATTTGTTAATCTTAATAAGCTTTTAGCAACATGAAAATCTAATTCTATCTATTATGATGTATTCATCTGCTCCTTAATATAAAACCTAATTAACTAATTTAAATAAATTAAGAATGTTAGTTAAATTAGTTAATATGATATATGTTTTTTCTAAAACATTATAAACATCTTCTTTAATTTCTTTCCTCCCTCTCCTACGTGATTATTGTTGGAAAAATATCAATAGGGTTAACTTGAGAAAAAATTGATAAACAAGTGAAGTAAGTCTTACATAGAGAACCAACACCAACTCCTCAATTAGGTCCTACATAAAAAACCAAAGAAGTATATCGATGTTATTCTCTTTGATTTAAGGGGGATTTTGGAATAGCTTTTTAGAATTGATTTAATAAAATTCAAGATAAATATGTAAGAGAAATTTTATATCAACTTATATAAAAACACTTTTTAAGTGCTTATGAGGGTTTTCTTTTGTTTTTTTTTTTTAACAAAACTTATGAGGGTTTTCAAATTTCAAACAACCCTAAAATAGAAATCACTTTCAATTATTTCATGAAAATAGTTAACTTGTTAAATATTTCTTAAATAATTAGAAAAAATTCAACTATGCTTCGTAATATCCAACGTGTGCCACTAATAAATAAGACTAAAATTAAAAAATGATAATTAATAATTCTCTAAATGACTTATATTATGAAAAAGTATTTCTTTTAGAAGAGTTGAAGACCCCTTGTATTTTGTACTAGAGAAAGTGAAGTACTCATATAGTCTTATTTGTAAATCATTTTTAACATATTTCATCCAGATTAAGAAAATTTTAAAATTTAATAACCTTTCAACTTTATTCTTGTTTAATAAACATTATACTTTAGGTAAACAAGGTCCATATAATAATAAATGAATGATAAAATTGTATATCTATATAAAAAAAATTTATTGCAGTATCACTATAAATATAACTAAAAAATATATTTTTTTCTTTGTACTATAAATAGGATTAGAGGAGGATGATGTAAATCTCATGTCATGTAAATTCAAGATAGTTAATATACATACTTTTTTTAATCAATAACCCAATTTACCTCTTCTTCTTTCTTTTCTTTTCTTTTGCCAGAACGTATCTCTTAAATCTTAATTATACCTTTCCAATGCTTTTAGACGTCATGCTCCAATCGAGGTGAAAAGAGGTCAAATCCTTTATATTGTTTTTTGCCAACGGTAAAATCCTCATTTTAATTGCATTAACAACTATATTCAAGTGTGAAGTAATATATTCTAATAGAAGCTGATTAGATCCACTCCTCTTTTTCTACTAATGTGATGAATATATCTATAATTATTCTTTCAGTCCTAAATATAAGACCCTTATATATTTAGGACCGGAAGAGTATTTAACAATTACTCCAATTACATGCCTTAATCGCATTAAGGTAATTTTCTAAGACCCAGGTTTTAAACATTTTCTATGTCAGGGACTCTAGTACGAATTCTTGATTTGAATTACCTAAAATCTACTGGGTATCCTAAATACTCCTTCGCTCCTTAATATAGGACCCAATTATTGAGTTGGTTTTGGTCCTAAATGTAAGACCCATTTCTCATATTTATCAATTTTCTCTAAATTACCCCTATGGATATTCCCTTGACTATAATCAAGTAGAAGAGGGAGATGGGGTATTAAGAAAGATGATTATGGTGTTTTAGAAAAAACGCATCATATTTCTCATAATTAACTAACTTACCTAACTTTCTTAATCTAATCAAATCAGTTAAATGGATCTTATATTAAGGACCGGAGGAGTAGTAAATACTGATAAAATCTTAAAAAAATATAGCATCTAAAGATCATGATATAATCAAAAAAGAGCTGTAACTTGTTCTGTTACAAATTATATTTATCAAACAATATATAATTTTATTTTTTATATATTTTTTCTGGCCAAAAAAATAAATATAGGATGTTCCTATTGGCTATTGACATCAATGCTCATAAAAAAGGTAAAAGGGAAAAAAAATCTTAAAATATAGTATCAAGCAATTCTCCCCGTTGTGAAGTATCAAGCAATTCTATCCAAGGGGCAAAAGCACCTTGTGCAGGCAACCGGGGATATGTTTTCTTTTATTTTTTACTACCATCTAATATGCCACAAGTACAATAATACTTCCTACATTGTTTTTTTTTTTTTTTGCCATCCAGCTGTTTGGACACCATCGAGGTCAATATTTGTTTGGAGCTGTTTAATATAAATATTTATAAGCACTTTTATGTTAAGTGAAGTAAAACCTCCTCAAGTACTATTTTGTATTCAGTAAATTAAAATTAAAAAGTTATTTTTGAAGACTCCAGTTATCATTTCAAACTAGTCTTTAGATGGTCTTTTCTTCACTTTAATTCAAAAAAAGCTCTTGTATGTATGGAAAACTACCCAAAAAAAAATCTTTAAAACCCAAAAAAAATCTTTAAAAGTACTCCTCCAATCCTAAATATAAGACCCTTATATTTAGGACCAGATGGGTATTTTTATATAAAATTTGAAATAAAATTTCTCTCATCTAGTACTTCATAACTTACTAATATTTGATTTTGACTAGGGTGTTTGAATAAAAATCAAACTATAATTTTAAAAGTAATTTTATAGTATACGAAATAAATATGTGAAGGAGTTTTTCACAATTTATTAAAAAAATATTTTTATGGTTTTCCAAACAATCCCGAGGTCAACGATCCCCACATGTTTAGTCAAGTTGCTTGGGTATCGTGCCAGTCGTGTTGGACAGTTGGTGTTTTTTCCTTGGGCCTTTGTTTGAAATATGTTTTTGCTTAAAAATTTCCATTCAATTCAATAATTATTGCTTTTTTTTTCCTTTAAAAAATAATGTTGAAGGAAAAAGTCAAACTCATCAAGAAGGGAGTGCTTGCTTCATAAATTTGGCGTGCAGGATTATTGATCACAAGGAACGTAACCGTTTTGACTTTCTACGCTGGAAAATGTGAGAAATTTGATTCCTCATAAATTTGGCAGGGTACTGGTCCTACGTAGGATAACAGACATTTACAAAATTGCCCTTGTGTATTTTTCGGCAGTTCTCGTTTTTTGACCAACTTCTTCTTTCTGCCTCACACGAGATTCATACGGAGAACTATGTTGAAATTTAATATGAATATCAGAGATTTAATTATATATATGATATTTTTAATAAATATATAATCTAAAATAAATGTAAGACATTAATTGTAAGTTTTTCAAAAAATAATTTTTATTTAGAAATTATTAGTTAATAATTTTAAATTTAAACTATTAAAATTGTATGTGACTTTTGTAGATTTTACTGTAATAATGAGTATCACGAATGAGCGCCAAAACTAATTCCAATAAATTTGACGACTGAAATTCATTGAAATTTATTTTGTTGGCGATTTCCTTTTAAAACTTAATTCTACCATTACAAGTAAATTATTCAAAAAAAATTTTATTTTCAATCACATATAAAGAATTTCTTAGGATCAATAATTTGCTAGTATTATAATTGCATAAAATGTATAGATTTTGGGGGGGAAAATATCATTGCATTCCATTTGATCTAATTTTTTATTGCCTCCTTTTTTAAAAAATATAAAAACTAGATAATTAATTTATAAATATTAAAAAACTAATTAAATTAATTATTTATAATAAAAAAGTGTTGTTTTTCATAAATGGTTCTCATTGGTGTGTATTTAAACAATTCTTGCGATCATCATAGAGATTACTCGAAGCAAAATAGATAAATATATGAGATAAAATGAATTACAATCTTATATTTAGAATCAAATTTAATCTTCAACTAACTCTTATATTAAATATTGATATATAAAATGCTTTTTTTAATAGGGAAATAAAAAGCATTTTCGATATCCGTATCCCAGCAGATTATTCTTCACAATTTCCTCATCTCACTTCAAATATAGTGTTTTTTTGTTTTTGGGGGTCCTTTTTTCAAATGATTCCCGGACGGTCAGGGCCAGTCAGCAGGAGGGGCACATAATTTGCCAGTATACGCCAAGTGAAGCGGGAAAGTGAGAAAACGTTAATGGCCAAGTTCGTAATTAAGTGCAAAAATAAGCCTTTTTGTCAAAAGATGTATGAATAAAATGAGAACCTCTGGTTCAGTGTCTACACGCCGGCTGACCTCCCATACTATTCTCCAGCGAAAGACGGAGTAACAGAAAATCCAGAAGCGACGTCATTAGCAATAGGTATAGGAATCGAAGAACGAGAAGAAGAAATGCCAGAGTTGTGAGACAGAACAGAAATCGGTAATAGATAGAAACATAAATTTGAAGAACAAGAAGAAGAAGATGGCGAATCAGTTGGAGAATCTGGTGGCGAGCATAAAGTCGAAAGTCCGATCGCTGAAGAAATCGAAGAAGCCGTACGTCAAAATGGACAAGAGCGCGAGCGTGAAGGTGGAGATCCGAAGCCGGAAGGCTCGAAAGCTCATCGATAAGACGTTGAAGGCCGCCGATCATCCCGGCAAGAGCTCCGTCGGCTAATCATGGCTTTTCAAATTTCTGATTCATCCCTTCTCGTCAATCCCAATGCACGCTTCGGAATCCTGTGAAGACAGGTTCTTGCTTCCATACAGTTTTAGTTAATCAAAACGCAGTTTCTGTAATTTGAAGTAAGAATGCGCTAATATAATATCTATTATTAATATGACATCTTCTTGTTCTCCAGATTTCTTATGGCCTGACAGGTTTTTCTCCTGGTTTGAAGAAACTGCAAAAATACAAGCGTTTCTAAATTATGATTCATTGAATCTTAAATTTTAATCCATCTTTGTGAAGAGCGTCGAAAACAAGATTATATATATAAGAAAAACATATTGTGATAATAAATTTGTTTGATTAATATAATGGTAGGTAGACAAAGTGTTTTCTAAGTGAGTATGATTAACTAAACTGAGATTCTATTGACTTGTCTGTTTTAATGGATTGATCTCTTCTCTCTTTACTCTTTGGTTGCGTTTATGAAGGATTGAGATTAAGATTATAATTGAGGATTGAGATTAAGATTATAATTGAGAAAATCTATTAAAAGAATGTTTAGTATAAGAAATTGTTTATCATATGGGATTAGCCAAACTCATGTATGTGGGATTGGAAAATATCATTAGGGGAATAGGTATTTCCTAATTCAACTCTATAAATTTGTCTAATTTCATATAATAAGCAATTACTCATATTAAATACTATTTTAATGATTTTTTTCAATTGCAATCTCAATCTCAATCCTTTATTTTTAATACTTTGTACCAAACGGAACATTTAGAGCTTTATTGGAAGAATGGTTATGAAAGTATTATTATTAATTACTCTATACTCATTTGAATGTTAGTTACTAGTATAAAGAAAGTTAAAACAGATTAACAAGAGAAAATAGCATAAGTTATCCCACTCTCATTGATTGAGTAGGATTTTTTTGACCCGATTAATTGAATAGGATTGAATGATTATGAATAAAAATTAAATTGGGATGATAATGAAGGGAGACCAAGGAACAAGAATCGAAGAGGCGTGCCGCCCGCTTGGGTCGGTGCATAATAGCGGATCTCACCTGTTGACGTTTCCCTTTTTTTTTTTTTTGACTTGAAACTGAATGGTTGCATTCACAACTTAAAACCCAATTACAAACACCAGTCAGAACTCAGAAACCAAGAAAAAACAAACAAAGCTAAAGTAGCACAAGACGTTTCTCATTTCTGGGGTGTGTACTAATCGTGCCTTCTTAATTTAAGTAGTAAAACGAGGAGATGGGGAATCAGGCCGCTGGGCTCTTAACTTCTAATGGATGCTAAAATTATACTATCTCCTACCTAAATATAACTAGTTAACTATTTGAGTAGATTAATAAAATAATTAAATTGATTATTTGTAATAAATAGGTGTTGTTTCTTTTAAAATATCCTTGCTAATCAAGTGTGTTAGTTAAAACTATCATTATTAGAAGAGTTACTTTAGAAAAAATATATAAATATTAGAGACAAAATGGATTTAGGTATTATATTTAGGACCAAAGTAAAAGTCAAATAAAGTCTTATATTAAAGACCGGAAGTAATAGTTTTTTATGAAATTATTTAGAATTATGTATTTCTTGCAACTGAGAGTTTTGATAACATTTTCTATATATAATTATATATATGAACACATTAAATACTTGCACTCTGGCAAAAAAGTATTAAATACATGTGATTTTAAAATTCGTTGGGAAAAAAAAGCATGATTTTAAAATTATATGTCAAGTTAACTCTCAAACTAGTATTTATCCTGGGTGTTCGGATTAACCCAAAAGCATTTTTAAAAAGTATTTTTAAGTAAGTCGAAACAAACTCTTCTCGTATGCTTATTTTGTATGGTGTAAAATTATTTTTAAAATTATGATTTGTTTTTCTTTTCAAACACTCTTAATTATGAAATGCATGGGGGAAAAAAAAGATTACTTTTCGTAGTGGGCAATTCAGGGCCAGAAGTAAGACCAAGTGAACTCAGCAGAGAAGCTGGTCTCCAGAATATGAAAACTAAAGAAGCTCAGAATCTGAATGGAATGATTGAAAACAAAGGGAACTCTTCCTTGGCTTGCGTATTTAATGTTATACGGAAGTGAAAAGGGGTGGAAAGAATTGGAGCCTTCCTTTGGCTGATGGTTCAAGAATTAGAGAAAGGATAGCGGGATTTTCTAAACTTCTGGGTGCATGCTTTGGCACTACAGAGGCAGAGGAATGGGCACTTTAAAGAGGAATGAATACAGCGTGGAATCCGGGGCTCCGCAAAGTGGTTTTTGAATCTGATTCTAAGGAGATAGTTGAAAGAATTATTAAACACCCAGCCGAGATTTACAGATGAACGTTCATTCAGCTTCAATATGCTCCAAGAGACACCAACAGAGTTAGGTACAGCAGAAATAGCTAATTCTTTATGACATGATAAAACCAATATTCAAATTTTCGTTAAGATATATACTCACATTTAATACAGAAAAGTTTAAATTTTTGTGGGTCAACTCTCAAAAGAAACAAATAAAAAAAACAAGTCTTATTCTACTAAGTATGGTCGACTACATGAATCGCACGATGCCATTGTATTTTATTAACAGCTAAATTTCTAGATATATTGTTGATTAGAAGGTCTTGTTCAATAACCTCGTTGAGCCAACTCTCAAAATAAACAAGTTTCACAATTTAATTTGCCCATTTTTTTTTTCTTTTAACGGGTGTTTGAAACAATGGTAAGTACTTTTATGTTTTACAAGACAAAATTGTACTCATGTAATTTTTTTTTACATAGCACAAAATCATTTAAACTAAGATAATTCAAACACCTACTCTTTTTGTGAAAAGTGAATTTCATTCAAACGAAGCTGTACATTTTATTATGCATTTCATATGATGTTAACAATCAAAAAATACATACACGTGTTGGCCAAAAACCAAAAACAAAACAAAACAAATACAAGAACATGTGCGCGCTATTCATGAACTCTTCATAGTATCACTTATGACATATTCTACATTTCTGAGTGTTCAAATGAAAAGGACTCCAGTACTACGCATGTGGTTATTATTTGATTTTGCATTAAACAAAAGAAAAATCCAAGCAAGAAACACCCCTGCTTTAGAGGATCCCCACCGCACAGCTCTGTTTGATCCTCTGAAGTTGAGAAATAGTAAAGTTGTTTGTTATCTTTTTGGTCAGCGGCTTGATTTGCTTCATAAAAGATGTGGCAAACATGCACTTTGCCAGTGACGTTGAAGCAGAATCTTATCAGTTCCACACTTCCACAGCCCTTTTACAATCAGATTCAATGATCACAGTTCTGTAGCTGTAATGTAAATGACCTTTAAGAAGCCAATCAGATCCTTAGCCTCTTTGATTGAATTAGATAAAACCATGAGACTAATACCTCTTATAGCTGTTTACGTGTTCATCATTATAACCGCATACCCAGTTGCAATTTTGGGTCTTGATATTAGAATCCTGAGTTCTCCTCCAAATTTCAGTAGCCACTGCTCTACTTGCACAACATATCAAATCTTATTAACAACTGACCAAACGTTTATTGTTTTTTCTTTCTTGAACAGCTTTCCTAGTAACTAGATTAGCAAAACATTCATCACTCTGGACCAAACATCATTCAAAAGCTCGAGTGAGTAAATTAGATGGAGGCAAGTGAAGAGGAAGGAGGCTTCCTGGCCTTGGTGGATTGCTCAAAGTCAAAAGCCATCTCAATAAGTTTTGGTTCAGTTCCTTTCAAGCCTCCAAAACATATCCCAAATGGCATTCCATATTGGTCATACCCACCTGGTACAGTGACTGCAGGATACCCTCCAATTGCCAGCATTTTATGAACCTTAGATCCCAACGTTACCAACCCATCCAATTCATTCTCTTTCATTACCTTCTCAAACCCTTCTTCTGATAACTCCCCCAACCTCTTGACTGCCTCTCTCTCTTCTTCTCCAAACCCACTTGTCATCTCTGATTTCATGAGCTCTTCTTGCCCGTACTCTTTTGTCTTCTCCTACAAGTTCAAATACAGTTCATTTCATTACTTACTGCTAAATCAAGCATACGTGACTGTGAGATGATTGATAAAACCACATATATGTTTGCGAAGGGTATATTACGAGCAAAGTAATAATTAACAGAGAAGCCCAGGAAAGTCTTGTTCTCTAGAGATGAATATCGATGATGCTTACCAGATCAGGATGATCGATGTTGAATTGAATAATGTCAGCCAGTGACCTGACAGGGGACCAAATGAGTTCCTTCAGATATTTGTTGATGGACAACTTGAATTCAGCTAAGATAGCCACTGATTCTCCACTCTCAGAAGAATTTTGAATGATGCTGATATTGGGTATTTCTAAATTATCAACCACAGCCGCACCCCTTGCCCTTCAATTCGCACAGACGACATAACTGAATGTTCATAACAGTAACAACATAGGCTATGGAGCTCATAACAGGTTAATGAAGAAGAACCGATAGTGTTGCTACCTTAACGTGCTGAGATGATGTTCAAAGACAGAAATGGCCAAGATCCATTATAGTAGAAAGAAAATGGATTCCTGACAACACCTAATCTCTTCCCTTTGAGTCCTTCCTTTTTGAGGAATTGCTTGTACCCTCCTTCAGGTATATATTCTGCTGCTGATATGTTGCTTCATCTCTGGGATCAAACCCAACAATCACATCAAGCACATGAACTGCATCTGACACTGTTCTGCACAGTGGCCTAACATATTGAAACTTTCAGTTAAAGCAAGGCAAGAAAGGAACTCTAGAAGAAATTACACGATCATTTCACTTTACTGTTCTTCAACCTTGAACTAGCAAGAAACAGGAGGCTACCCAATAGTGTCCTGACGAGGCGAAACTGGGATGACGCCAGCCCTGCTCGTGAGACCAACGGTAGGTTTGATGGCGGCGACGGAGTTGTGATCAGCTGGGCAGATGATTGAGCCATCAGTTTCAGTCCCCAGAGAAACGGCAACCAAGTTCGCAGCCACCGATATCGCTGATCCATAACTTGACCCACATGTATCGTTTGTTCTCACGTAAGGATTCTGCATAAAGAGGCGTCAATTTCATATTTGTTCAGTATTATTAAGTAGTTACTATGAAGAAACTAATGCAGAAGGAAAAGAGACGAAGGAGAACGGACCAGAGCAAATCCAC